CACACATACTTAAAACAATTAAACAAGATTTGTAATTGGAACAATGCCTGGCAAATACCATTAAGTTCTAATGAGTGGAATCCTTATATAGCTCCTACACAGAATACGTCGAGGCGACGTATTTTCGAAGCTCTACATAATCCCTAGTATTCTTATACTCCCGCAATTTAACGCTCACACAGCATGCATAATCCACTGTTACAAGTCTGCTGCACCGAAAACTGGACACAGGTGAGACTGAATTTTTTCTGTACAAAGCCATGGTTTATCCGGTACTCGAGTAATACCCAATCATTTTCATTTTTACGCATGAGTAGGATAGGGTTCATGCCAAAAATATCCAGCATGCTTTTGCACAGTGCCTAATAAGCAATCGTTAAATTCACATAAATAAATAAATAAATTTATTCTCATAGTACAGTACATGAAGGACGCCAGTTTACAGGCATCATCAAATTGTTACAGAAATAGAACCATATAATTCAATCACAATTTACAGGCAGTAGCAAGATATGCTTTACATGTTCGATGGAGATTATACATACACTTGATAAATGTTAATCCCAGTAGGATAAAACAGCCTTTTCACTTATATACAATCATTTCTGTGCAAAGTTGGAAAAATCTGCTAGATTGTCAGTGAGTGCAACACAACAGGAAATACAGGAGTATTGTCTTCGCATTAACAAAAAACCAGGTCTTTGGTGGATGGATTATAAGTGCCTGGGAAAAAAATAAAGCTTGAAGTAAATATTCATACATAACTTTGTTGTGTGCAGAGTCCTCGAATTATAGTTCATCGATGTGTTATTTTGAAATCAGTGATGTGTTTATCTCATTTGATCTGAAATGTCATTGTTGGAAGTAAATGCATAAGCTTCAGACGCATTAATTAATGGATTTCTACTGCTTGTGGGTATTTTCTTAGCACAAGGAAGGTTTATGAATTTCAGCTGTTCCGACAGGAGTTGAGAATATTAACTGCTCAGCAACATTATGGATATAAGACAACTAAAGCTTAACCAGAATTTCCCCTTCTATCTTCTATACACAACATCAGAATTAATCACCCATAACTTTCGGTAAAGAGGCTAAATACACGCCGTATAATCGTCAGAACACCCTCTCAATAACCAGATAGCAAACAAGAAACAGTTTAAGGTGTTTCATTATGCAGTATTGTGCACCGATAATCAAACTTCGGCTTTCATTGCGTCTGGTCGATCTCCTGCAGAATTCTGATGCCCTGTAAGTTAGCGTCTACCAGTGCCCTTCGCTCTGCTTATTTATACTTTATTCACATACTGTTTAAACAATAGAATTAATAGCACTGAAAACTCCAATGCAATACCATGAGTTTGAGGAAATTTGTTCGCTCAAGTGTGGCATAGAGTTAGAATCTTAGTCAGCCACTCATTCATTCAGGGGTTCCATCCCCAGCTGACATGCTCTCAAACCTCGCTTGGCAGGTAATAAGTCCAACAAAGAGGGAAGGTTGGACGTCAGACTAGCAATCCCATTCCGTAAAAATAAGACCACTGATATCAAAACTTCAAAGCCCTAGCTTGAAGCCCTCTGTTCCACCGGGAACGCAAAGGGTTATAAAATGCGAAAACAAAATGTATCCATGCTACTCTATGTATATACGGACTACTTAACATCTAACCTATGTTTAAGGACCCTCCCATCCGCATAAAGTTACATAAATCTTCTTGTTGCCCCGGCCATGATTTATTTTGAACTTCTACTACACAATCCAATTAAACTCGCCAGCATATAACCATTTAATATTAGGCGTCATATTACGTCTAAGATTTAGTGTCACGAACCCAAAATTAGATTATCCGATGAAAAAGTTAATTGTATGGATGGCTTGTCTCGATCTGTTCATTCACCACTTCGTCAGTCTGCTCACACAAATTGTTTGGTCGAATAAGGTATGACTGCTATGCCTTTTGCTAAATATCACGTAGGAACCTGGCAACCGCATAACGAATAAGTTCCAACACCTACCGAAATTCGATATGCACTAAATATATGTCGTAAATACTTAAAACAGTGTGTAGGTGCTGGCATACGCACTCCAAGATCCTAGTTTCCCTCTGAGAAGTCGAGCTATTAACTGCCCGCCAACTCAGCGTTTTCTAGGAAAATGTACTCATTCAAGTTAGTGAAATGCGAAACAAACTGCACTGAACACTCACTCATAAGAACTGCCTCCATGTTTTAATTATTCATGGCCATACAACTGCTAAGGGCTTCATGGGAAATCAAGACATTCAGACACTCCAATCACAACTAAATGTGATCATAAAATGTAATTTTTTACTTTACATAAATAAGTTCGTACAATATAAGTTACACGAAATTGGTGTGATTTTGTGTGTGAACTTGGTCATGCATGTTAAAGCGGCACGCAAGTTCATGCGGATACTCGGATATTATATATATAAGAAATAAATAAATATTGTCAGCCAATGAGGGTTCGCCCAACAGATCTCAAAAATCGAGTGCTCGCTCATTCCTTTTCTCTTCAAATATGCTGCTCCTAGAATAATTTTCCAGCATCTGCTGTTCATTCAGTGGAAAATTGTAGGCGTAGGTTGGCTCCTCTTCCCACCGTAATGAGATGAAATCATAACATATCACAATCTACCAATGAGCTCTCTACCAAATTCTACCCTGATAGCTGCACAGTTCTCCTTGTTCCAATATTCTCCTTAATCTGACTATCCGTTTCTCTTAGGTACCTGTATAACTCAATTATGGATAAGGTACCCGTATACTTTTATCTACTTTTCTTTTCTTAATTTATGCACTTACTAACAACTATTTTATCTGGACTAAGCGAAAGAAACAAATTAGGCAGGTTGAAATTGAGCCTTTGTAATTCTTCGGTTCCTTCCCGTTACGTAAAATCACAAATAATTTTTACATCAGTACACAAAATATTCATTTACTTCAATTTCTGCTCTCTTGACCAAGCAGCATAATAGAGAGGAGTAAAAGCTGTTATTAAGCCAGTAAATGAGCATAAGAGTATGCTTATATATATATATATGTAGGCAAAGAAGATTATTCACATAGCAATCTCGGATACCGTCCCTCTAGTCACACCACAGCTGAAGTAAACGTCCTCACGATTGGAGAGAGGTACTCAACATATTCCGCAAGCAAAGTGGAAGGCTTAGTATACATGGCGAATATGCAGCAGTAAAACTGACCACAATGGATATCTGAAACACAGGAACCAATGCAACAAAAGAGCCAGGAGTGACAGGAGGTCATTTCAGGCTAACCTTGCCGAAAAACTCCTGGTAGACCCCAAAAGCCTGTACCGACTTATGTTGGAGAGATAACTAGCCAACCTAGGGCATGCGCCGTAGTAGGTTCAATTTGTCAATACCTCATTGGTCTGGAAATGGCTGCAAAATTCAGATCAGCTTTCGCCAAACAGTTAAACAGCAATTTGGGTGTCACTGGTACGGACTGAAATGGTGGCGCTACTACTTTACCGGAGGAAAACCTAGTGGTTACTCTCCAAATAAACCCGGCAGTGGTGGTAAGGAAGCTACAGAGACTAACATCTGGGAAGTCCCCAGGTTGTGACGAAATCAGGCTATTTTTTCGAAACAGTGCACCAAAGCTCACTGTAGGTCCCTATGTGACTTGTTCCAACACTCGATGGATTCAAGGAAATTGCCAAGAGAGTGGGGAGGGGCAAAATGCCACCAGTTATAGACCAGTGGGGCTAATCCCAGTGGCATAGAAATTACTGGAAAGTATTATTGACGATCACATCAGGGAGCATATCGATCGGACTAACCGACACCATGAAGGCCAACATGGTTTCAGGAAAGGCATACCCTGTGTAACAGACCTACTATCAACTTGGGACTATTATACATCATGCTGGGGCACGAATTTTCCAGTCCATGTGGCATTTGACACAGTTCAGCATGACCTTCTCCTACAGAAAATAGGTCGGACAGGTATAGGTGAACCTCTTCTGTCATGGTTGAAGGACTACTTAGGTGAAAGGGGATTCTGCACTCAGATCAATCGAGTGTAATTGTCCTGGCACAGCTCATCAATAGGGCTCTATCCTATAGCCACTGATGACTTTGATTTTCAACAGTGATCTACCATGCCGTCTAAGCTGCTTGGCTCTTCATTACACTGACGACGTAAGGATTTGGAGAGCGAAAAAGTGTTCGGAAGACTCAGAAAGGCTGCAGGCAGATCTAAAGCTTCTGGAAGACTGGGCGGTGGGCAATGGTATGACTTTCAACCTGTCCACTAGTCTGAATAACCTACACCAATTATATTTATTATTATTACTATCTCTTTGATTTTGTCGACAACACCAGAAGACTTAATGGTGAAAGGATCAACTCCGTTCACAGCAGTAACAGTCTTAACATACCACATACTACAAACAACATAATTAATCCCATCACCACTCCTTTTGTAGTTAGCCATAGCTATGACAGTCGAGGGGAGGGCCGAACTACTCAGAAGTTTACCGAAGACCAGGAACCGTCATCTCACAATCCAGAAGCGAGCACAGGGAAATCAAATTGGTTTGAACTAGCTCGTAAAAATGGTATTGGATATTGGACATAATTGTTGTCTGGTCTACATCTTGGTATTTTTTAATGTATCCTTCTTGTGACACATTCAAAAGTTTTGTTTGATTTCGTTAGCCTGTTTTACGACATAGCTCTACCGTTCAAAAAAACGTATTTCATGATCTCAGTACGCTGAGATATATCTCATGCTGTTGTTTGCCTCAGAATACATATGGTTAGAAAAGTTCATCGAATTTTGTAGGTGATTTTGCTTGAGGGAAAAAGTACAAACTTAAAAACGACTATTTTTCTCATTTTGCATTATGGATGGAGTTTCTCTGGCGGAGTCATTGCTGTACAGGGATATCGAAGAGGCACAGAGATCAATTAGAGTAAGTTTCTTTATCACTGAAAATTTTTTACAACGATCTCTAGAGCGAATGTGGTATGGAAATCACAAGCAGACCGTCACAAAAGCAATTGCACAGTGACCATGATGATCAAAATCAATTCACCTCACTAATCAAGAACTTTACACTGCAACCAGTTCATTGCAAAGAATTATGGTGAGGTCTTTGTATATTTAAGAAATGTATATTTCTTACGATCGAGACACATGTCTCCAATGCAAGCTTGTGCTTACACTAATGCTAGATTGGTGCTGAATAGTGTGCTGATAATGTGATTAATGATCGAAAGCAGAATAGAGCGAGAGAAGTAATCCTGCTTCAACATTACTTCCCCAGTTCTTGGAAGTATTTTTGCATTGTTGTGAGATTTCGGCTGTTCACTGTGGCACAGAGTACGATTGAAATAAGGTTAATAGCATTCAGAGAAAAGTAATCAGTAGGAAATGTATCAAGTTGCAAAGTGCTCAACAGGCGCACTTAATTCCCTTCACATTATAAAAATACTTCTTTCAGGTGCTGTTGAAATGGTGTTTTATATAGTAGTCAACTTGTAACCTTGTTGATAATGTCATAGGGCTGCGTGTTTGCAGTATGCCGCATGGTAGCTTCTCCATCGGTCTGGAGGAACAGAAGCATGAACAACACGCAACTTCAGTGTCTGGAAGAAATTAAACTGCTGAGAAAGTAGTTTCTAAAGTTATCATATAAGAACTCCCAGTTACTGCAGTGGTAAAGCCATCTTATGTGACAAACACATAAGAATGCAGTTGTTTTCATTTTATAGATTGGACTGAAGCTGGATTCAATGCATTTTGTAGCTATGTACCATAGCTCAGCTGTTCATTCATGGAAGGAACAAATAGAGAATACAACTAATTTTTTGACCTGCAACCAATAAAAACCCAGGTTGTAACACTCCTCTGCTAAACGGATGATAGAACTTTGAATTGCTTAGAGAATGAATCATTAATGGAATCATCTGTTTCTAATTGAATGTCCATATAATATCTCAGCCCTCACAGGGATATGGAACAACGATTTGATAAAAAGCTTATTTTAATGTTATACTCCCGTACCCATTATTTCATTTAATTCACTATCATTGAATTGTGATTATTATTCTCAAACAAGAGCCACCTTGTTTCATATCCTTTTTCTGTACATTTTTTGTGATCTTCATTTTCATCGTATACATGTTATGGTCTAAAGTAGACACTATTAAACTCCTAGACATTTTTCTAGTGAAAAGGACTGATGGCATAATCGAAAGACCTATATTTAGAAAGTCTTCATGGACAGGATAGTACATGCATTTCAAGAACTTTGTTCCAATCCAGCATAAAAAGAACTTAGTCGAAACGCAGTTCAATAGAGCATGTAAAACTTGTTCTGACAGTACAACTGAGCATGAAGTAAAAACCCGAAGGATATTGTATCTAAGAATGGATATCCTGAGAAGTCCATTAATAAATACTCCAAAGAAATGAGACCCTGCAAAAGTATCCAAATAGTTTCAAGAAGTAGTTAAACAAAGACTCGATAAAGCTATCAAGAGAACTTATTATGCTGCAAAACTTGTTTTCCTTTAAACCACTTGGCGAATGTTTCAACAATCGGGGAAAGACCAGCCGCCAATCCTCTAACTTCAAGCTGTGTATATCAATTTGAATGTATTTGTGGAAGCAAATATATAGGTCGTACAGAAAGGCAATTTTCTACTCACACGATGGAGCACTTGCCAAAGTTGTTGAAAACAACTGAATGCAGAGTGCCAAAAACCTTGATAACAAAACATCTAGTGGACTATGGACATGATATTGACGTTGTCATGTCATTCACTATTGTCAGCAGACAAAGGAACAAGAAGATGCTTGCAATTGCACAGGCTTGTGCAACTCGAGTTTATAAACCAGGTCCCTGTATTCAAAAGGAGATGATCGTCAAGATGATTAAATCAATGTAATTTATTTGCTTAACTGTCTTATATCTCTCAAAGTAGTTTCACTGGTATATATATCCCCGTATGCAGAGTACTGAGGTGATGAGTTCTACCGGAATTTGATGAATTCATTAAGTCCTACTTTATTAACCTTTGTTGCTTGTTTTAAATTCGTATGGTAAATAAATGTTTTCAATTCTGTCTGTGTATTATTTTCATTAACCTCATCAATACCGCCCGCACCTACTGTCTCAAAAATGTATCCGTGTTAAATCAAAGCATAAGTGTAAAACCTTTTGTCTTGTATTCAGATAAGCAGAGTTAGTATCATAACTATTCTACTCTCGAACATGAATATTACTCCTAGTTAAGCACAATATACATACGGGTCAGAAACTTGGCGTGTCACGAAAAGGATTTCCCACAGGCTGCAAACTTTTATCAACAGCTGTCTTTGCTGGCTCCATACTGAAGATCAAATGGCCAGAAAGAATAAGCAACAGGAAACTCTGGCTGGGAATAAACCATCCAAGAGCCAACCGCTAAACAAATGAATGACATCGCGCTTCAGGCCCTAGAGTGGATTCCAAATGGGAAGCGATGAATGGGTGGTCGATATGAGGGTTACATGGAGTTGGTCGTGTGAGAAAGGGATGAGAGAGTTCGATCAATCGTGAAACCAGTTGACAAGGACAGCAAAAAACAGAACAAAGTGGAGATATATTGTTGAAGTCCTGTGTTCCACTCGGAAGGCAAGGGAATAATAGTAATAATAAAAAATTGTGTCATTTGCTTAAATTATATTTCATGACATTGAAGGCATTATCCACTTGACCTTTTTAGTTTACTTCTTATTTATTTATGTAGGAATGAAAACAATAAGCATCCAAGTAATAAGTGTATACGTCGATTTCAAAAGTTTCAAGATCAACTTGAAAAGTATTTAAAAGAAGGCATAAAAGTAATACGCCTATGCTCTTATGTTCGTTGTTCTTGTTTTTGTCGTTGTTGTTATTTCCCATATTTTGGTTCTGTCCTAAAAGCAAAAAGGCTTTTGTTGAAATAATTTTAGGGAACGGAATATCAAAATAAGCTGTTGTGACACAACTAAGCACAAAATAAAGACTCGTCAAAATTCTTTTTTATTCCGGGACTAGCTTTTTGACAGTCAAATGCAAATCTCGGATATTTTGCAGGTCCAAGCAGCATTTGGCAGTATGTATAGAAACTGATATCAGTTAGAGAACCATTCAAAACCAGGAAGCAATAGATAGCCAGCTATTTCGTCCCAGTTTGGGGCTTATTAGCAGTGCTCACTGATGTTACTGATGCTCGTCAGTGACTGGCTACAGGATGAAGCTGACTGGAGTTCTACTGAGAAGACATGAGTAGTGGGGTCCGCTCAGTCGGGAGTGAGGGCAAATACTCGCCGCTGATGACATTGGCTAGTGGTCGTACTAAAGTCACCAATCAGTATCAGCTAGAATTCACGTGATGGCCAGTGAGTCGGGTCCCAGCGGCTGCACGGCCAACGAGCTCGCCTTTTAACTGGAAGTTCCTAGGTTCGAAATACAGTTGGTGAGTACTTCTGATAAGCCCTAAACTGTAACTGATATAAATACATGATTCAACTTGAAGCAAATGATATTTCTACAAACTAACTCATGCGTTACCTCTCATCTAACACTGGAAGTTGTCCAAAAATATAAGACATTAGGTGTAACTGTTGTGTATATGTACAGAACCAATATGAATACTGAAGTAATTGTTTGACTTTTGATCATTCTTCAGCATGTATTAGTTGCATTCAGCATCTTCTAACCTTTGTCCTAAATAGGTTAATGTGACTAAATTATCCACACTTACACCTACACAGTGTTGCAAATTAATATCAAACACAGTTAAGTTCAAGGCTGCTCCGCAATTCTAAACAAAGTGTCAGTGCCCTGGAATAATAATAATAATAATCTACTTTATTCCAAAAACAGTACTTATAATACAGAATGGAATTCTCAGTATTTGTCACAATATTGCATCTGATTTACTCAAAATATAAATAAAATTAAAAATTCAAACTAAATTAACTAGAGGAATTTCTCCACATTTACGACATAATTATTAGATATAATAATAACAGTGAGTTTGTTTCAAACGGTATTGTCGATTCATTTTGGAAACTTTAGCATGTTATAGATTATTGGGTCTAATGTTCTGTTGATATAGTATAGTGAGGGGAAATATAAAATTAACAGTTATAATACAGCTTAAAATTACATCCACACTTATGAAAAAAAATAAACAAAACGAAAAATTGAGAGGATTATAATATAAGAAATACAATAACAATAAAGTTTGATGCTGTAAAGGTGAAGGAAATGGTTTATTTAGTGGTGCTAAGAAGGTTAGTTAGTTCATTTCTGACACTATTTTCATCACATAAAGTACTTGCTAAATATAGTATATTGGAATTTTAATACTTAGACGTACCTGCATAAAGTTTTCTGAAATGACTTCTTTTTTTACCTGAGGGGACACAAGGTTGGAGCTGCAGGTAGAGTGGGTACTCAGAGTTTGACAAAATTCCTTTAGCGAATTTGTTGCATGACATCAAATGCCTATCAGTGACAATGTCAACGATATGGCCCAATGGGATACCACTCGTCCTATTGACAGTCTTCAGAGTTCCACGAATTATGACATAGTCCTTTTTAAACAATCCAGGAGAGAATAAGGGTGAACAGTAAAGAAGAATAGGTAAAATACACGAATTGATAAACTGTAAGAGGAGTAGTTGAGTTATGCCTGAGTACCTTAACTTCTTAATGTAAAAAGTCAGACGAAATATTCTTTTAGAAATCGCTAAGACATGAGAGGACCAGGATAGGTCAGAAGAGAGAATTAATCCAAGATACTTAACTTCAGACTTGCTTTCTATATCAGTATCATCGATTTTGCAAGGGTCATAGGAACCAACGGCTTCATTTAGCTTTCGTTTTTGCGTCTAATTTTAAAGAGTTTATGAAATTTGGGAAACCACTGTGTTTGTTACGTTGAGAATACTGCTTAGTATTATTTTGTAAAAATCTCGAATAGCTGATATGTACGAAAGTGGGACTATGCTATCGTTTTAAAGATATAATAACCACCTGAATACTTTATAACGGTTACTTAAATAACGCCACACACATCGGAGCTTAACGACAAAAGGGTATCTTAATGTTATGCACAGTAGTAATAAATCAAAAAGACTACTCTTTGAAAGTAGTTATTGAAGAGGAATGTTTTGGAATATTTTGACATCTTAAACTGCGTAGTAAGCCTAGAGTAGTGTTCCATGCCAGTTATCATGTTAGATGGGTTTAGTGTAAAATTGTTTTTGTTCGGTTTCTACACAATGCAGGCAGTTCCGAAGTTAGATAGCAAATACCTAGTAAAAATATGTATCTCATTGTACCTGAAAATTAGTCACATCCATTGTATTGAAAGCTATCAAGGTAGCCTAACTTTTCACAGACTGTAAGTTGAATAGAGTTCGAACCCGTAACCCAGTAAATGGGAGATATAGTTACACTTTGAAACATGTCGAAAATGACATCTGCTAACATTATTTCTTCACCTATCATTTTATTTTCATTGCTGACTCTTGTAGATCTTTCAATGTTAAAACTCAACATCCTTAATTATATTCTTATCAAAAGCTTCACTTGTTTTGGAACTGTAAATCCCCCCAGTTATAAGAACATACGATTTCTAAGTCAAAATTGCTTGACGATTCAGAATTTCACGCGTCAAACTCTTTCATGATGATATTTTATTATTATTGTTATTATTATTACTATTACTCGCTTGACTTCCTAGTGGAACATAGGGCCATTTCACTCTGTTCCTTTGAGTCTTTTTCAGCTGGCTCCTCAAGTGCCTGCAAACTTTCAATTTCCCATCACACGGTCTCAATCCTGTGACATTCAGTCTCACTCTCATCACATCGTTACCCCTTTGTGTGCCACTTGACGATCTAGTCCGTGGTGTCACTCAATGACCTCCTTAGGATGTGTCCGGTTCATCTCCATATCCTCCTGGATATTTGTTGGGTCAGCAGGCCCTTGGTTTATTCGTTGTCAGAGTTCGTTGGTGCGTATTCTTCTCGACTGCTAGGCTATCTGTTCTTTAGTGTGGAACTAAGAGGGCAACTGTTGAAGAAAATTTGAAGCCTGATTTTGTATATTTAAATGAAGTCTAAGTTTCACAAGTCATATTAGTACAAAAGTGTAACTCAATTTTATAGACGCCTAAATTTATAAAATGAATTGTAGTCTTGAGTGCTAAATAAACTGTACAGCTTAAGGTAATCATGTTTTTACATAGAATATGGTGCTTAATAGCAATATAGGAGTGTGCATTACGTCACTTTAGGAATAAATTTCAGAAGAAACAAAATATTTAGTGATAAAATAACCGATAGTTCACTAGAAATCAGCAACTTTATGGTATCTGGTTTAATCTGGTTTCTAATGATGAAAAGTTTTTTAGGCTTTGAAAAATTCCCATTACGTATAATTGAGAACACATGAATCAGCAAAGAGATCTCTTTGTGTAACTTGACTTCCCGAGGACTTCCACTGGCTTCATGAAACGTAAGAGAGTGTGCTTCGACTCTTGTACACGCCTTTTAGTGACAGCAGAAATAAAATCTTCAGATAAATCATCAACCACACAGCGCATTTAGTCGATACTCTGTTCCATTTTAAGTACACATGACAGCAGATCGTCAGTCATATTCAAGGCATGACGCTTCAAAGTTTGATGATATGAGTGTATATAACTAACTCCTTCATAGAACTTTCCAGAAATACTTCGGATACTGATGTTTTATGAAACAATCTTCAATAGAGGCAAATTGTGACTTTGCTTTAACAAGCCTGACAGAACATTGGAGAACGCAGACACACACACACCTGAACTCCTTGGATTTCTTTATGAAGCTAAGGACACATGAGTCAGCAAAGAGATCTCTTCTTTTCGTAATCTTACTTCCTAGATAATTCACTTCTTTAGAAAGAAAAAAAACCGACTGAAAACTCAATTATTTTATTAGTTTGAAGAGAGAAAGAACGAACATGTTTGCAGGATAAAACGAGCCGGTTTTATTTCGTGGATACTTATCAACTGCATACATCCTAAATAAAATTAAATTATAATTTTCAAAAAAGTTTTGGAGCATACTTTTTCATAATTACTTGGAGTTATAGATAGAAAGTATAAGGAACATAATTCCAGAATTTGTTGTAGGTAGACATATTATTCGGTGTCGAAAAACAACTAATTATATAAAGTGGATGGGTGGGTGTGTACTGATGAAGAGTCCCAAACTAGGACGAAACAGCTGTCCAGTACTCCCAGGTTTTCCAATGCTTCTCTAACTAATGACAGCTCATGATGAAAATCCTGTAACCAATCAAATCCCTACAAACCAACACTTGTATATATAGTGGAATTAGATAAGAGGGGTAAGAGTTCAGATTTCTATTGGAAAACACAGATTGGTTAGAGGCATATTACAGGGTCAGGGTAGGGAACAGAGTGAATTTATACATCTTGTGGTGGAAAGTTTAAGAGGGTGGGGGTGAATAGTGAAGTAACAGTTTTAACTTAAACAGACAATTAAGTAGATTTAGAAACTTGAAGGTCAAAATTGAATAGAATGTTACGTAACAAGACAAACACACAGGCATACTGATAGAAAGGCAAAACAAAAATAAAATAAAGTTAGGGTTACCAAGGTAGTGAAAGATTAATCACAGTATCTTTCTATATATAGAGGTCTGGTCGAAATCTCTTGATAGCAATGGCTTCTGCGAAGCGAAGTAGCCATGGGTTTCTTTGTGTATTGATTATTTTGAAGGCTTGGCTAATTTCTACTGTGTGTCCTGTGTCAACTAAATGTCTGGCGATTGCACTCCATAACACTTTTCTTCCTTTTGTACGGAGACTCTTAGGAATGTGCTCAGAAAATCTAGTAGATGCTGTCCTCTCAGTCCTTCCTATGTATTTGCTTCCTCAAGTGCACGTGAATTGGTAAATGCAGTTGGAGTTGACGTGAGTAGTGTACTCATCTACTTTTGACTGGGTTAACGAGCACACAGTGTTGTGAAATAGGATCAGTCTGGCGGCTGGAAACGTTCTTTTTAATGCACCTGTGATTCTTTTTTGTGTTCTTGTGGATACGTCTTCCCCTTTGTACGCTAGGCAGATGAAAACTGGTTTCTTTTCAACGGTGTCAGGTTTCGGTTTGTGTACTTCTTCATTTCTTTACTTTAATATGAACTTTCGAGGATATCCATTCTCGATAAGGTTCTTTTCGATGACTGCGAGTTCTTCTTCAATCTTGTCTTCTGAACATATTTCTTTGGCTCTGCTGAAGAGTGTTTTTACTAGACCTCGTTTGTAACTGGTTGGGTAAAAGCCGTGATAATTTAAGTATTGACCAGTCCTGTAGACAGATTTTTGAATCGTCCCATCGTTTCTTCTTTTTATGTTGACATCTAGGAAATGGAACTGGTTGTTTCTTTCGTAGTCAGTTGTGAATGCAATATTGGGATTATTTTAATTTTTACCTTTCTTTTAACAAACGTATATTGTTATTTTTTGTTTTGAAGATTGAATCCATCTTGGTAAATAATCTTGACAAAAGTTCACACTGTAACATGAAAGAAAGTCATTTTCAGTGTTGTCAAGACTTTACAAATGTACAAACTTGTATTAATTCTTTATACTCTACAACACTTTATGTGAGTATATAATGTTTTTTTGTTGTATTTGATGGTAATTATGAATTAATTAAATTACTCTCCATTTCTATTGGTAATGTGATTTTCATTCGTTCATGTAATTTTTATTATTTGCTTAACAACAGTAATAATAATGTTGATGATGATGGCTGGTAGTAGAATTTGACATGTGGGTTTTTTATTTTCAGGTTTTCCTTTTCAAGGATATGATTGATTTCAAGATCCATCCCAAACTGATTTCACTTGGTAAAATATTGAAAACCAGGGTTCTGCTGAACAGATACTTTATCCTTGTTTGGAACACTTCAGCAGTACGCATGCATAACCTCGACAGAGATTGAAACTAGGACTTTCAGGGTATAAAGCGAGCTCGTATACCATTCAGCCAACAAGACCAGATCCAATTCTCCCTCAATTCTAAGATTTTATTTTGATGTCAAACTCTCAGAATTGATATACCTACATTCTAGTCACTGATAGTATTTCTACTGAGATTCCCACTAGGTAATCTTTCTTTTAAATACCTATTGTCATAATTTAAGGATTCTAGTACTGAATGGTGAGCTTGGGTTTCGGTGGGAGTAATATAATACATTTCCCTGACGACAGTCCTAAACAGGCATCTTTGATTTCACTGTTAGTTATCACTAGACAATCAACATTATTGCCGTTGATTTGCAATTCCTATCGATTTATTTCGTTGAATGGAAACTCTTAGTCTCTGTTGGCATGTTGCAGAGACCGAGCATTTCGACAGCCTAGTGGGCGATTCTTTAGCATTTGAAACGGTGGGTACAAGGTTCAAGCCTTGGTAGGAATGCCAAAAATCACTGGGGATGCAAATGCATCCAGATGACGAGTCCCAAACAGGATGAAATATGCATCTTGGATCCCACTGCTACTCATCGCTATCAATCAACACAAACTGTTCAGTTTTTTTAGAAAATAAGTAGGATTACTTGAACTGTGCGTGAAACAGTACAAATGAATGAATATAAGACGTAACAGCTATGGATCAAACTTCTCGTGGTAAGAGACAGTAGACAGTTTTATGGTATTACCTGTTCATCAAAATTTTCGTCTAGTCCACCTACAAGTTACTGTCAAACTAATTAAGTAGAGTAGAATGTACATACTGAATAAATTGCTTTTTTAAGATATAGAGTCAAGTTTTCTAAACAAAACTTAGGAATATGATAAATTTACTTAAAACAGTGAGTTAACTTTTGCAAGCCTTATTACTGAGAATTTTAATAGCTGATAATTGTTATGTTTTCAGATGTCATTTTTGAATACCTTCGAAACTTTCCATCAGCTGATATCTGGTCAGTGCAAGTCTCGATTACTGTGGTGTAGTGTTTTATGATACTTTAATTTATTCTACAGCGTCATTATCACACATCTATAACACTCCTGTCTGTCTGTTTTCTGTGTATAGATACTACAGTTTGAGTGGTTTTGTAAGGTCACCTGTATTTTTTCTTCTAACTCTTGCTATTTACCCGCAGTCTAATTTAATAACGCATGTCAGTCTTATTTTCAAAATATTCGATTCAGTCTTTTATTCAGTGAAACATTTTAACCCGAAGGAATGATGAAAAGCTTGGATATAGAATTCAGTCATACTATCCCTCTCGTTCTGTGTAGAAACAAAAGCCTACTCGTAGTGATCTAAATTCAGAGAATAGATCCTTTTGTCCAATTCAATAGCTGTCCAAGACTTCCTTGAGAAATCCATTGTCACAATACGCTCGAAAGGCAACAAAAAGACGATTTTCAATTGTTGGTTTTCAGGCTTTTGGTTTGACTGATTACAGGATTTCATCGTGAAGAGGACCATTGGAAAAACCTCAAGTATCGAACAGCTGTTTCGTCCCAACCTGGGACTCTTCAACAGTACACACTCACCGGGGTTCGGACCCAGTACCTTACGGTTATCAGGCCAGGTCGTAAAATATTAAGCCACTGGAACGACTTTCATGGGTCCATGATTCCCGTCTTCCGCCAGGTCTTTTCAGCAATAATGATAACAACATCAAAAACTCAAAACTACCTCAACAGCCCTGTTAGACGGCCATACAAACGAGGTAACTTTCTGGGTACAAAACAAGTACTGTAGAGTAAAATTGGTTAACCGAAATTCAACTGTAAGAAGTATCTTAGAACCAAGTAGAATATTCCAAGGAGGTTGAGATCAAAAACTCAATCTACGAGAATCACACACCAATGCTCCCCTCAGACAATCCAAGATCAGAACAACCTTGATTCATTCAAACAAAACAACACATAACCAATGTATTGCACAACAACAAAAAGAAGTATTAAAATTAGAGATTAAACAAGGACTAGTTCATATAATGAGGATCAAATCAACACGTGCTGTGTAAATGTCAAAATAGGGATATACAGTCTAAAAGCATAATGGATAATAATTACAGATTTACCTGAAATACCCAAATATGTACAGATATTGTGATTAGATATTTCAGGAGAGATTTTCTCAACAGTCTTCCGAGTAAAATCTGTTCTCCAATAAAAATGTAATCACTGGAGCTGATACGTCTATCTGTACGCATATACATCACTCAATCTATCTATCTTCATTGCTTCAAACTGATGGATATATGAGTAGAAATAAAGCATAATTTTAATTTAGTAATTAATTTAGCATGTCAACTGTATGATATAAGCTTTTACCTAATGTGCCATAAAGCTAACTGAACATGAGTTATTGAAGCTGAAATCAGTGAACACTGATAAATTAGAAACCACTTAAAATGATAGAAAAATTTCGTTTGACATAACACACTACTATTATTATTCTTTCCTAAAACAAGGCTGGCTGGCTGCCTACTATCTCCAATGATTTTCCTGAATGCGGTAGACTGGATAATGTGACAGACAGCGGCGGGCAGTGAGGAAACAGGCACAAAATGCACCCACACAAAAACTTGGTGGATCTGGACTTCGCCGATGATATATGTCTGATTTACAAAAGACTGGAAGATATGCAAATGAAAAGCAAAAATTTGACGATAGAAGAAGCATCCAGGGAAGATAGGAAGAACTTCAGCTGAACATAGAGAAGACAGAGGTGATGATGAAGATTCCTGGCCAGCAGCAACAGAAACAACAACAGACAACAATCAGACAGCATAAATGGGAGAAATCTGAAAGAATCAACCTCCTTCATCTACCTACCTACCTACCTCGAAAGCATCGTTTCAACTACAGGCGGACGGAACTGATGAGGATATCAAAGCAGCGAGGATCGGGAAAACAAGGCAAGCTTTCATTACTCTCAAGTCTGTGTGGAGATCAACAGCACTCAGCATCAAAAACGAGATCCGGATTTTCAACTCCAATGTGAAGTCAGTCAGTGCTACTATACGGATGGATTAGAGACTTGGCCAGTGCGTCACGAAGAGCACTTCGAACAAACTACAGACCTCTGTCGACAGCTGTCTTCACTCAATACTACTCAAGATCAGATGGCCTACCAGAAAAGATCAGCAACAGAGAGGGATCTCTGACAATGAGCGAACCAACCCACCGGGGACCGATTGTGCAACAATTATGCAGGAAGGAATGGAGATGGATTGGCCATAGCCTGAGGAAACAACCCATCAAGTGACATCACATGCCGCACCATCACTCGAGTGGAACGCGAATGGGAAGCGGCGGCGAGTTGGTCGTCAGTGTGAGGGTGGGGTGATATCGAGGAGATCATGTGAAGAGGAAATGGAAGCATGTGGGTAGACATGGAGCCAGGTGAAAACGTTGGTGTAGAACTGAACGCAATGGAGACGTGCGGCAGAAACCCTATGTTCCTCCAGGAACTAAAGGAGATAGTAATAATAATTATCAGTAAAGGCAAACTTAGTTACTTCTCAAAGTAATGCAGTTATAATTCTAAGCAGTATATCAAGAAGCCTGTACATTAAGGTTAAGCAGATGGAAGAGTCATTTTTACCAGACAAATATTCCAACGAAGTCACCAGTAAGTTCACTGAGCCACAGATTCTGCAGCATTTTCAATCCTGATACTATGGAAGAGGAACTGGACATTCAAAAGAATCCTCCTTGAAAATAGCTGCCAAGAACTTCTTATAACAATATCAATGAAAACTAAGCCACTATAACAGCCCTGATTTTCTGCTTTTAAAAAACTACAGTATTAGAATCTACAATTCAAAAGAGACTCACACACAGAAATACTGAGAAACCGCTTGTCGCGCTCATTGAAGAAAACCTTCTTCGAGGCTGAACTTCGACTAACATTCACTACGTTATTTAAATTATGAAAAAAAGAGTTATGTACTTTGTAAAGTAGTTCATGAATTGTATAAATCTCAAAGGGTGTGGGCGTGTGGAAATCATAAGATTAGTAGGCAATCAAAACATTACACAACATGGTGATAATTATGATAACACAATATTGCAAAAAAGCTATAATGAATTAAGCAAACAAAAGGTGACAGGTGAGATAATTTCAAAAGTTGTTCAAATTGAAATTGATAATAACAATCGAAATAATTATAATAATAATAATAGAAGGACACGCAAGCTGAATTATTATTATTATTGTTCCCTTGGGTTCCTAGTGGAACATAGGGCTTCAAATGCACGTCTACACCTGCTTCGGTCTTCTGATGTACTTTTCACCTGCATCCATGTTAGTCCGTACTGTTTCAATTCCTCTTCACACGATCTCCTCCATGTCACCCTTCGAAGTCTCACTCAGCACTTCCCCTTCGGGTTCCACTCGAGCACTGGCCTGACGCGCGATGTCACCCAGCGGCCTCCTCAGCGAGTGAGTGTCCAATCCATCTCCATTTTCTCCTGCATTTTTGTTGAGCGATCGGTTCTTGTTTTGTTTGTTCCCATAGTTTCTTGTTGGTGATTCTTTCCCGCCGGCCATCTGACCTTCAGTATAGAACGAAGACAGTTGTTGATGAAGGTCTGCAACAGGCTGTTGGAAATATTCTTTGTGACCCGCTGGCCAAGTTTCTGATCCGTATAGAAGAACTGACTGATTTGACGTTTGCATTGAAAATTCGAATCATTTTGTCGTTGATGTTGAGTGATGAAGATTTCCAGATTGGTTTGAGGTTGATGAATGTGTGTTTCTCGGCTTCCCGATTCTCGAGTTGACATCCTCGTCCGTTCCATGTGCCTGTAGTTGAAACAATGCTCCCTAGATAAGTGAATGAAGTAACCTCTTTCAATGTAAGCTGAATAAACCAAACGAAAAATAAATACGACCAAAGTAGGAATGGCGATCATACTAGTTTCGTATTAGTGGATAAAGACCGTGAAAGACAGAGTAGTTGAACAAAATTCTTCATTATAGAAAGGTATAGCTTTTCCGCTTCGATCGCTAAAGCTTCAGCAATACAGATGAGTCGGATACATCACATTTTTTGAGGCTGTTTATTTCTCGCCTTAAAACATAAATTTAAAGGAAAACGCTGTAGTAATAAGCTGACCAAATGTTCAACTGTCACTCTTATTATAGCCCCAATACCATCTCTTTGTAATCATGCAGGATATGGTTCTTGTATTCTACTGGACAAAACCCATGGCAAATGACTGATATCATCTAGCTCCACAGCATCAAGTGAATTGACAAATGCATAGCTAACCAACTCTAAGTGCTTTGGATAGAGTATATAAATATGTAAGCTTGAATAAAATCCTTGTGTGTGTGTTTGTGCGCGCTCTTATAACCGAGAGTTGTCTTTGGCCTTCTACAAAACAAAGTTCAGCTATAAGATTACGAAAGAATCAGCTCACCAGTGACCTTGAATCTATCAATCCAAGAGATAGAGATAGATGACTTCTCTTCAGAATTTAAGGAACTGGTTTTATCCGTTTACTCCATCTGTTTGATCGAAAGTCACTCATTCACTCATCTTGTTGAGGTCAAATAGTTCAGCTTCATCCACTATTTTGGTTACAAAAAAATATATAATTCAATATCTGAAATTGTATTTCGCTACACTTTCTTGAAAGCTACTCAGTACACTTAAATGTCAAAGTATAAATTCTCCATTATTAATGGCATAACTATTTAACTATTTATTACATAAATACATATTCTTTGATATATTGGACAGGTGATACAACTTTTAAAAAGTATACAAGATGTTTATTCAATTCAAATTCCTGTTTATATATATTCAACAATTCAACGTCCTTTAAATTTGATTCGAGCTTTTCAAAATGATGAAGGAAATTTGTTAAAAGTGAGTGCTTTTTTGTTTGGTCTTGTGAATTAAACGAGATAAAATACCAGTAACAGGTAATTAATTTATAAAGTGTATGCATTTTATTCCAGAATACTTTAATCTACATAACGAAATCTGTAGATCATTATGTGATTGGTCTTCATTTAACTACTTGAAGAACAAATATGCTCGATAATTAGTGGCTGGCATTCGTGTCCGTGAAGCGTGTCTCATCCTATTTCAGAGTCGGCCGCCGAATCTACCTAATCTTCAGTGACTTATGGGATCCTTACATATGATAAACATGAATAAATAACTTTAAATTATACGCCCTCGATCGTGAAGTAATTTGGAAATTATTCGATTACTATGGCGTACCCCAAATATTCATCAACCTTATTCAACAGCTGTACGACAACGGCACGTGTCAAGTGATCCACAACGGAAAACTCAGCGAAGCGTTTGCAGTAAACACAGGAGTCAGACAAGGGTGCTTATTATCACCAATGATATTCCTAATTTTGGTGGACTGGATTATGCGTCAAACAGTGGGAAACGAGAAGACAGGGATATCCTGGACCGACGTGAAGAACCTAGAAGACCTGGATTTTGCGGATGATTTATGTGTGATGTCACACAAAATCGAAGACTTACAAGCAAAAACTGACAAACTGGTCGAAGAAGCAGCAAAGACAGGACTCCAGGTGAACATAGACAAGACGGAGGTTATGAAAATAAACAACCAACAACAACAACAACAGCAGCAACATCCAGCGCCAATCACCATCAACGGGAGGGATTTGAAAGAGGTTACTTCATTCACTTATCTAGGGAGCATTGTCTCAATTACAGGAGGAATGGGCGAGGATGTCAAATCGGGAATCGGGAAGGCGGGAAACATGTTCATCAACCTGAAACCAATCTGGAAATCTTCGTCACTCAGCATCAACAACAAAATTCGAATTTCCAATATACAAACATCAAGTCAGTTCTTCTATACGGATGGATCAGAAACTTGGCCAGCGGGTCACCAAGAATATTTTCAACAGGTTGCAGACCTTTATCAACAAGTGTCTTTGCTCTATACTGAAGATCAGATGGCTCGAAAGAATCACCAACAAGAAACTATGGGAACAAACAAAACAAGAACCAATCGCTCAACAAATATGCAGGAGAAAGTGGAGATGGATTGGACACTCACCGGCTGAGGAGGCCGCTGGGTGACATCGCGCGTCAGGCCAGTGCTCGAGTGGAAACCGGAAGGGAAGCGGCGAGTGGGACGTGGATGGGTGACATGGAGGAGATCGTGTGAAGAGGAGTTGAAACATAATGGACTAACATGGATGCAGGTGAAAAGTACAGGCGAAGACAGAAGCAAGTGGAGACGTGTAGTTGAAGCCCTATGTTTCACTAGGAACCCAAGGGAACAGTAACAATAATATATACATAAAACTGATTTCCGGATATTCAATACAAATCTGCAATCCAATTGTTAAGAGAAATATCGGAGAACGATAAAAGGCAAAATTGCATAGATTTATTTGACTCTGATACTGACGATATTGGTTAAAGAGAGGTGTAATATACTGCACAGTTACCACAATTAATTTGCATATGAGCCAACCAACAGGGGGTATGATTGTAGAAACTAATTAGTAAGTTCATTCAAATTTGAATATTGTTGAATAGTGTTGTTGGCATAATTTTCAAAGTACTGGTAACTGCAATATTATTACCTCACTAGTTAATTAGATGCTTGACTTATGATACGATGATATTCCTGACTGATGAATAAACTTGTCGCTATCGACGTCTTTGAGATTAAATAAGTGTAGTTCAGTGCATATTATTTCTTTTTTTCAGTTTAAGACAAGACTTCTCAAAGAATAATGAAACTTCCTTCCAAAACTACTTACAATTATGTTGTTGACAGATACTGAAACATGGGGCTTAAAAACTGATCTATTAAGTTTTAGTAAATGATGTGTTTCTTTCAGAGGGTGGGGTTGCTGGTCTCACAAGGAACCTTACCTCGTTACTAGGCTTACTGTCAGCTAACCGAGGTTTTGGAACAGAATTAAATAGATAAAAAGAAGAACACAACAGTAAAAAGGACAGTTTCTTGAAAACGTTCGTTGAACTGCTGAAGAACTTGAAGAATGAGAACAAAATCATCTCTTGTAGGGTAATGCTGAAAAGTAAAGTGTTCAAAACTGAAATCCACCAAATCCCAGCACTTGAAAATTATTCAGGTGTTCTCTGTTGATTGACTACAGGATGAAGTCACCTGGAGTTTTAATGGCGGGTCATGATAAGCCACGTCCGCCTAGTTGGGCGTCAGAACAGATACTCACCGATGACATTGACTGGGGGGTGACGCTATATCGCAAGTTGACAGAAGTTAGAATTGATAAGCATTGGATCCAGTCCTACTGGCTGAATGGTGTACGAGTTCGCCCTGTAAACCAAAGGTCCTCCGTTCAGTCCTTAGTGGGGTTAAAGGTGCGTACTTCTGGAGAATTGCCAAATAAAAACAGAACAGCTGTCCAGTACTTCCTGGTTTTTAATGGTTTTCTAGCTGGAGTCGGTTCGTGATCAAAATTGAAGTCAACCAAATTCCAACAAGTCAACACTTATTAACTTTAAAGACTAGACGCTACAGTATGTGTATTTAGATATATACCTGTTAAGTATCTGTTGAACATACAGTAGCAACATACAAATTAAAGCAGCGGGAAGCTGACACTGAATTATCTTTTCACAAAGGAACTGAATTCCTTGTCGATGAATACGTTTGGTAACAATGCCACAGTGTTTCAGGGATTACGATGAGATCATGTGCAATAACTAATGACTGAAAAGTTCATTATTCTCCTTTTATGAAGAAAGTTTCACCATTGTAGCCCACCAGTTCGAGAATGTGCATCTCACATGATGATACTGAAAATCATAGCTAATTAGTAGGCTAATGAAACCGTAGCGAATGCTAAAAGCTTTCTTAATACCCCTCTCGATATTCCGTAGATTGTGGAGGAGACGAAAACGTGTATTAAGAGATAATTATTGGTTGATTTCACTAAGACACACTTTATGTAATTACGAGCTCTAACAAGTGAGTGACTTCTATCATTCCATCTGATCTTCAGTATAGAACGAAGACAGTTGTTCATAAAGGTCTGCAACAGGCTGTTGGAAGTATTCTTTGTGACCCGCCGCTAAGTGTCTGATACATCCGTATAGAAGAACTGACTGACTTGACGTTTGTATTTAAAATCCGAATCATTTTGTTGTTGATGGTGAGTGACGAAGATTTCCAGATTGGTTTCAGGTTGATGAATGTGTTTCTCACCTGCCTTCCCGATTCTCGATTTGACATCCTCGTACGTTCCTCCTTTATTAAACATTGAATTGTATCATCTCAGAGTGTTAGTGAATTTCATGTGTTAGTGTCCAAGGATTTGAGTGGTTACAGGTGTAATCACAAGCTGGCATCAGTTACACAGGCAATAAAAAACCAGAGAGTACTGGATGACTGTTCCCCCCCATTTTAACGCGACTCTTCAGCAACACATATGAATCGGAGTTCAGATCAAGACTTTCTAGATACAAGGCGATTTCTTAGACTATCCAGCTACTAGGATATGATGAGGCAGTGCATGAATTCCAACTTCTGTCGATTCGCGATATATACAGCGGTCATAGGCGAGCAAGTGTTCTCTTACCTTACTTAGTGGACTTCACTAGAATTTCAAGTAACTTCCTGTGTAGAACCAGTCACTAGTGAACATCAGACTAATTGTCAGGTGTTGGTTTGCAGAGATTCGATTAGTTACAGATGTGATAACGAAATTAACTTCGCTTATAGGAATACGGATTCAAAAAAGAGTGTAAGTATGAGGAATGTATGAAAACAGGGTTTTAAGATGTGTTTTCACCTTGTTGGCACACTTTAGTTTGATGTATTCTCCGTTGATAATTGATTCTAAGAACCGAAATGATTTTCAAGATGTGGATGAAAGTAAATAATATCGTCGCATGATTTAATTCCTAGTGGCAGCTTTTGTTAGCCTTCAGCAGCCTACGCAATTCAGATAAAAGTCACTTTTTCTAATTTAAACTATCCATGTAGCTAAACCTAGGGAAATGTTTAAGAAAACCCGGTAGATTTATAGCATTTAATGAACGTGAACATAGTCTAAACATCCATAGTTGGTAAACGATTGCATAATCTTACTAACAAACGCCTCTAGTGTACGCTTTGTACAAAATGTACTTGGTTTTGGAGGTTGATCAGTGATCTTCCTGTTCGTTTGCTTGAAAAAGTTCACAAATGTCTGATTCTTGTAAGTTTAAAACTTAGGCACTTGGGCATTTTTTAATTCAGTATTCGTCTGTTTATTCAACAAATATTAGTATTTAATGGGTAGGTGACATTTCGAACACGTATAGCTCCACAACTTTGAAACTTGTTTATTATAATTCTAGTTCATCGCTTGTTATAAGAGTTGAAGAGTTTTCTAAAGAATATTCAGGGCAGGTTTTGTAGGATAAGTCAAAGAAATGATGTTTCATTGTGTGGTTAATCAAATAAGCAAACTGATATGGAACTCAGATGTTTAAATTGTTAGACGTTTCATTAGTTCCGGAGTATATGTCGTCACCAACCAGTACAGCAAGACAATGGATGACAGTTGTTTTTTTCTAGAATTTCTTAATAGTGCACAAGAAGATGTTAAACACATAACCATCAGCTTTACACTGCTGTATGATTTTTCAATAACGGTTTTGACAAGTTAATCCGACTTTCCATCAAATTGTCTCGTCATAGATTAATGGCAAAATTAAACATTAAGCACCACTAACTACCAATCAGCGAATGACCTCGAACGCACCAATGTGTATGGAATACAAACATTTATGAAAAAACAATGCATGAAGGCTGTTTGAAAGTGATACAGAGGATATCTTCCTCTCACATGTGATAAAAATAGCTCTGAGTTTTAGGTTGGAGTATCAACAGAGTGTAATTCCATTGTGGATAATATTTGCTTTGATAAAGTCTCATAGTGTTATGCAGTAATACATACTAAGCGAAAATTGTACTCGAAACATTGTCATCAGTTATTATTTCTGTATAACACTGGGAGACTTTATCAAAATAAATTTTGCCCACAATGGAATTATACTCTACCACAGTGCACAAGTGCTATTCCTATATCAACAGGGTAATTTAACCACATTCTATGCATATAATCATTTAGGTCTTCTAATCCTAAAAGTAACCCTAATCTTTCCTGAACCTAACCTTAACGTGAAAATACCCCTAAACTAACTGTAATCTAACTCAAACCAACCCTAATGTTGCCTTTATTAGGTTAACCTAACCCTAACTTGTCCTTCGCTTAAAGCGTAACTTAATCTTTCCCAAACCTAAGCTGAAACTTGCCAGAAATCCCATTTAATAGCATAACACTTCGATGAGCATAATTTATCGATGATGACAACATTACCTGCCAGGTTTCACTCACTTGCTCAGTCAATGCTTCAGGGTCATTTGGATGGTCACACTTCATTAGTGGTAGTTAGTGGTGCTTAAAGTTTAACTTGACCAGATTAATTTCCCTTGACAAAATTACACAGTGATGCAGTACTATTCAGTGAAGACATTTCAGGCACATTTCATTACTCATAATCACATCTCTGTTGTTCTAAAATTCAAATAATTTCCTCATGCAGCCAGGTGAGGGCTTATGGCGAGTTGTCATCTGAAGTGGTGACGACTAGTGGCGTCCGTCAAGGATGCCAATTATCCCCATTCCTATTCAATTTCATCATAGATGTACCAATGGACTTAACCCTAACTCACTTCAGAGACTCAGGGATTGACTTGCTACCAGGGAATAATCTCGTTGACTTAAAATATGCAGATGATATAGTCCTTCTAGGCGAGGACGCTGACAAAATGCAGAGTCTTCTGAACACCTTGAGCTGCAATCTACGAATGTTTGGCATGCGATTCGCTCCCGCCAAATGCAAGATGATGTTACAGGAATTGACTACACTGACTCCTAGTTTAGAAATAGGAAGTGAAGTGGTAGAGCACGTTGACCGCTTCACTTTTTTGGGAAGTACCATCAGCCAGTGCAAACGGGTTGATCTCTGACGAAATCTCAGCACGAATACAGAGGGCTAGTTTCGCATATGCCAGTTTACACCGTCTCTCGCTTAGTAGACGTGATATCCGACTATCGACCAAAGGGCGGGTGTACTGCTCATCAGTCAGCCCCATCCTCCTTTATGGCTGTGAGACCTGGCCATTGAGAGTGGAAGGCATGGAAAGATTAGCTGTCTTTGATCATAGGTGCCTGTGTTCTATCTCCCATGTGAAGTGGTATAATAAGGTGAGCAATATTGAGGTTAACCGTCGAGTGCTAGGTAAGGAGGGGAAATCAATCGACGAGGCTGTGAAATTACATCGACTGAGATGGTTAGGACATGTGTTACGTATGCCTAGTCATCACCTTCCTCGACAATGGGCAATGTTAGCTGACATAGGGTCAGGCTGGAAAAGAGCTAGCGGCGGTCAAACGAAAACATGGCACCAGTCAATGAAATCCACAACAGTTAGTCTAAGCCACGTAGGAAGGTGTAGACTTCCTGACTGGTTGGGGTCCTCGGGACGGTAAAAACCAATGGTTGGAAACAATTGGTGACATGGCTCAAAATCGTTTTCAATGGATGGGCGCAGATGCATCCACTCCTTGTGACTTATGATTTCCAATGAAGCTATATTGTTCTTCGTTATTACTATTCCTTTGTCTCACACCTCTGTTTACTGTCTATATTATGCATTTCTCCTACTTTCTTCTCTTGCTTTGTGTGCTACAAAGAGGGAGTGTGGCGACTTGAACAGCCGCACATATGTGCAAAGTTCTATGTTCTTCTTCATGAAAACACGTGCATCAATAATTCCCCTGTCATTTGTTTAAAATTTTTAGATGAATTTCACTGACGACGTTATTTCATGCTTATATGAAAAGCTTACAGAACAAGTAAGAACAGCTCGAACAGCTTTATGGTCAGCTTACCAGTTATTTAGTTGTTGTGAAATACAGGATATTACAAATCAATTAATGAATCGTATGATTGATTCTGTCTCAAAGCATCTACTACGGCCAGTGGAGATAAATGAGATGGCAAGAAGTGAATTATCACAATTCCAGAATAAATTATTATCCGAGATTGATCAGTTTTCTAGTAAAATATCAAAGAATACAATTGACTCTGTGCATAAAGCATATTCTACAGCAGTGAATGATACTAAATGGCCTATGTATCCACCAAGCAGTAGGAATACAAATTCATGTAGTCAACCGATAATTTGGTCAGGTACATCTCTCCCGTTTTATCAACGTTCAATAATTCAAAGCAATGCTTATAATCAAGAAAAAATAATAAACAATTCAAATGAAAGACTGAGAAATTTAATTAGTAATCAGCGTATAGGTGGACAAGTGTACGCGAATTCCACGCTTATGCTTTCTCAATCTATCCCTCGGTCAATACAACCAACTTTACTGATTACACCATCATTAATTTCTGGTAGTAATAATAATTCATCTCGTTATCCTTGTCATCCACCGAATTCACAGCTTCATCATCATCACCTTCAGCAACAGCAACCTCAGCCCCAGCCGCAGCAACCACATCAGCATCCTTACCTTCAGCATCAGCCTACCTCTGTTGAATCATGCAATAATCATGATATATTATTGTCTACTGGTTTTTATAAAAACTGTATGTAAAGAAAGGATGTTGTTCATCAATGGTTTCAAGATCATATTTATTATTATGTGAAATAAGTGAGAAGAAAAAACAAAAACAAAATAGTTTTTTCTTTTTTGTTTTTGACTTCTCTTGATTTGATTTTATTCTCTCCTTTTTTTCGTCGCTTAACTTTTCATTAACTTTGCTCTTTGAATAATCTCATGCTCATGCTCATGCCCATCATCATCATCATGTTCTAGTGTTGTTTGAAGTGTTTTTTTCAATGTATACCTACATACTTATTGATTTATTGTTTCTCTTCTCCTTGCCTTCATTACATGCATAATGTGATAATCATTCAATGTTTCCAATGGTCGATATCTAGTATAAATGCATCTGTGATTTTATTTTACTTAATGACTTTTTCATTATGTAAAACCAAATGAAAAGAAAAGTAAAAAAATACAAACAAAACAACAAACAAACAAACAGAAAACGAAATCAAAATAACCTCCTCAATTTAATTGAGTTTATTAAAACAAATCATAACCGATAGAGTAATAGAAACTATTGAATCATTGAATAAGTTTTAAGCTTCATTTATTTATTTATTTATTTAACTGTTTTTGTTTGCAATTTCTTTTAGTTTAAAAGTATACTTACTTACTTACTTACTATGCTATGATGCATTGTGTTATGAATACTTTTTTTGATGGTTTAATTCTATCTACTCAAGTGTTTATCTTTATTTTTCAATGTTGTCATAAGCATTTATGACAACCACTGTCCATCGGTGTTTATTCAGTCTATCATGTTATAAATGTGTATGCGTATATTTTGAATGGATGGATATGCATGATTGGTTGCTTGGTTGGTTGGTTAGTTAGTTAGTTAATGAGGTGAATACTTCGATTGCAGTTCAACTTTTATCGTTAGGATTGTTCCTTTATTGTCGAAATCTAAGTGTTGTTTATTGTATTTTTAAAATAATTTTTGATTGATTGAATTATTGTACTATTGTTAGTTAGTCTTTAAGAAAAAAAAATATGTCAGCTTTCTGAGTTCTATATTATGTTAAAAATTCAAGTTTTGAAGGCTGGCTGACTGGCTGGATTCAACATAGAACTTGCCACCGAAGTGCAGCAGTTCGAGTTGCCACGTTCCAAATAGCACACAAAGGTAGACAAGAAAATGAGTGAAGAGAATCAATAGAGTTTTGACGCGTATAACAGTGAAACAGAATGAGTAATGGTAGAAAGGAATATGAAAGATTACAGAGACTGAATACATCTACGCCATTGACAACGATTTTGAGCCATGTCACCTATTGTCTGTCTCCAGCCATTGATTCTTAGAGTCCCGAGGGCGGGCCCCAACCCGGAAGTCTGCATCTCCCTCCCTACCTGACTCAGTTTAACTGTCAGGGATTTCATGGATTGATGAAGCCATGTTGTTGTTTGGCCACCACTTACTCTTTTCCAACCTACACCTATATCAGCTAGTAATGCCCGTCCGTCGGGGGAGGCGATGGTTGGGCATGCGCAGCACGTGACCTGGCCATCTCAATCTATGTAACTTTATAGCCTCTTCGATTGATTTTCCCTCCTTGCCCAACACTCTACACCTAGCGTCAATATTACTTACCTACTTATGCCACCTAACGTGAGAAAGAGATCGTAGACATCTATGATCAAAAACAGTCAACCTTTTCATGTCGTCTTCAACTCCTATTGGCCATGTTTCAGAGCCATAGAGGAGAAGGACGGAGCGAACTGCTGACCTATGGGTGACATTTTCTTTTTATTCCTTCACGTTCCCCAATGGAACATAGGGCTTCAAGCTTGTGGCTTGAAGTTTCTGTAGCAGTGGTGTTTATTTTACAGGATGTGGTTGCTAGCCTCATGCCCAACCTTTCCTCTTCACCAGCATTATTTCTGGCTTAGTGAGGTAAAGGAGTGCGTCGGTGGCCGGGGATCGAACCCCGAAACACGTGCATGGTTGGCAATCGTCCTAACCACTATGCCACCGACACACATGGGTGAAATGAAAATATAAATATATATATATATATATACATATATATTTCACAATGGTGGGCTTGTACTGCCTTCTAGATTCTGTGGGACGTGGTCACTGAAAGTGGAAGGTTTGAAAAATAAAAATAAACCATTCTAGACCATAGATATAAGGATAAAAATTGGGCCCTGTGGTCCAGAATAATTCCATAATGGAAAAAATTTTATTTTGATAAAATCACACAGTGTTGTTATACAGTAATATTTACTGATGACCACGTTACGAGCACAATTTATTACTGCTCATAATCATATCAAGGCACTACTCATACAACTTTCTTGCTTCGTCAATATACATGAGTGAAACTGACTAGATATTTGAATAAAATCAATATAAGATAAAGTACTTTCGGAAATAATATTAGTGTCAACAATAAATTACAATAGGATGGGATATAAGATGTTTTTACAATAAAATAAATAAATAACCTATTAGAATGTTATTATGTATGCGAATTGAAATAGAATTTTAAGATTGTTCACTATCGTCTTGAAAGCCGGAAAAGCAGCTGGACCAGATGGAATACCCCCGGAAGCACTGAAAGCGGACCCAGAGACGACAGCAGATATGCTGACTCCATTATTGCAAAAGATCTGGAAAGAGGGAAAGGTGCCTACTGACTGGAGGAAAGGTTACCTAGTGAAACTACCAAAGAAGGGCGACCTGGGACTCTGCAAGAACTGGCGAGGAATCATGCTCCTGTCGACGCCAAGTAAAATCCTGAGTCGCATCATCCTGGAGAGAATCAAGGACGCACTGGATACAGAACTCCGACTAGAACAAGCTGGATTCAGGACAGGCAAATCATGTTCTGACCAAATTGCAACTCTACGCATTATCATCGAACAAAGCATGGAATGGCAATCAAATCTCTACCTCAACTTCATAGACTTTGAGAAGGCCTTCGACAGCGTTGACCGCGAAGTAATTTGGAAACTACTCGAGTACTACGGCGTACCCCAAATATTCATCAACCTTATTCAACAACTGTACGACAACGGCACATGTCAAGTGATCCACAACGGAAAACTCAGCGAGGCGTTTGGAGTAAACACAGGAGTCAGACAAGGGTGCTTATTATCACCAATGATATTCCTAATTGTGGTGGACTGGATTATGCGTCAGACAGTGGGAAACGAGAAGACAGGGATATCCTGGACTGACGTGAAGAACCTAGAAGACCTGGATTTCGCGCGTGGATGATTTATGTTTGATGTCACACAAAATCGAAGACTTACAAGCAATAACCGACAAACTGGTCGAAGAAGCAGCCGGTGAAGACAGGACTCCAGGTGAACATAGACAAGACGGAGGTTATGAAAATAACCAACCAACAACAACATCAACATCCAGTGCCAATCACCATCAACGGGAGGGATTTGAAAGAGGTTACTTCTTTCACTTATCTAGGGAGCATTGTCTCAACCACAGGAGGAACGGACGAGGATGTCAAATCGAGAATCGGGAAGGCGAGAAACACATTCATCAACCTGAAACCAATCTGGAAATCTTCGTCACTCCTCAGCATCAACAACAAAATTCGGATTTTCAATACAAACGTCAAGTCAATTTTGCTTTACGGATCAGAAACTTGGCGGGTCACAAAGAATATTTCCTACAGCCTGTTGCAGACCTTTATCAACAACTGTCTTCGCTCAATACTACTCAAGATCAGATGGCCGGAAAGAACAAGAACCAACAAGAAACTATGGGAACAAACAAAACAGGAACCAATCGCCCAGCAAATATGCAGGAGGAAGTGGAGATGGATTGGACACTCGCTGAGGAGGCCACTAGGTGACATCGCGCGTCAGGCCCTCGAGTGGAACCCGTAAGGGAAGCGGTGTGTAGTGGGACGTCCAAGGGTGACATGGAGGAGATCGTGTGAGGAGGAGATGAAACAGTATGGAGTAACATGGGTGCAAGTGAAAAGTACAGCACAAGACAGAAGCAAGTGGAGGCGTGCAGTTGAAGCCCTCTGTTCCACTAGGAACCCGAGGGAACAATAATAATAATAATCACTATCGTCTGATTTGACTGGTAATAATATCTTCCATATCTCTGGTATTTGCGTTGAGTCACTTTTATTGCAAATGTTGGGTGTGTGTGGATGAACAAGGAAGGATTCAGTAATCAATCTCTCTCTCCAACTAACTATTTTACTTTTCAGAATGTTGACTCTGTCCCACCCTATTGTGTGGTTGTGTGGTAATGCATGCAGTGCAATATAGTGCTGAGTTTTTTTTCTAAATTACTTATCTTCGTGGGATCAGTCATTCGAACCTTAGGTAAATTCTTATGTTCTGATAATCTCACTACTCCTAATCTACTAGTTTGACCTATGTTGTTGACCTCATTCACAGTCATTGCAAGATATTTTATAAATTATATTATTTTGTTTAATTGGGTCCACCGGGTCCTTTAGGCAACATAGCTTGTCTCTGAGTATCACTCAGAGATTGATTACTGAGTCCTGGTTCATCGAGTCTGCACCCAACACATGCAATAAAAGTGACAACGCAAATACCAAAGATATGCAAGATATTAATGCCAGTCAAATAAGAGGATAGTGAACAATCTTAAAATTCTACTTCACTTCACACGCATTATAACATTCTAGCAGGTTATTTATTTATTTTATTTTAAAAATATTCAATTTTCCATCCTGTTGTAATTTATTGCTGACACTAATATTATTTCCGAATGTACTTTATCTTATATTGATTTTATTCACTGGTCTAATCAGTTTTACTCATGTGTATGAATGAAGCAAGAAAGTTGTATGAGTAGTGCCTTGATATGATTATGAGCAGCGATAAATTGTGCTCGAAACGTGGTCATCAGTTAATATTACTGTACAACAACACTGTGTGGTTTTATGAAAATAACATTTTATCCATGATGGAACTAGACCATAGGTGTCTGTGTTCATGTTTTCGTATTGGTTGGTGTAATGTGGTCAATATTAATTCAGTTAGCCAACAAACCACCAAAGAGCCTATAGTCCAAAAAATATGTAGAAGGA